ATCTTAAAAAATAAAGATCACCATATTGAAAATAGCGTGTGGAATGGTCTAAGTATATGCCACAGATGCATTTCTGACCGTTTTCATGATTGTACTATTCTTAGTTTTCTTTAGGATAATAGGCTGCTAGGCTGCTAATTTCATAAATTTCGATGATGCGTCAGAAAAATAACTTTAGAATTCAACATCTTAAAAAATAAAGATCACGATATTGAAAAAACCTGGAATGGTTTAAGGAAGTGACATTGATTTATTTCCGACGGTTTTCATGTTCGTACTATCCTTAGTTTGCATTCGGCTGCCAGGCTACTAGGATTAACTTCACAAATTTTGAAGCGCCAGAATAAAAAAACGTTCAACTTCTTAAAAATTAAAGATCACGATACTGAACAAAAGTAAGTGCCACAGATGCATTTCCGACTGTTTTGATGTTTGTATTAGTCTTAGTTATCTTTAAGCTGCCAAGCTGCTTCGCTATAAATGTCAAAGTGTCAGAATAAAAAGAATACAGTTCAACATCTTAGAAAATAAAAATCACGATCTTAAATGGTCTAAGGAAGTGCTTCTGATTCATTTCCGACGGTTTTCATGTTTGTACTATCCTTAGCTTTCTTAAGGCTGTCAAGCTGTAAGGCTGCTCACTACAAATTTCGAAGCGTCAGAATAAAACAAGAAAGTTCAATATCTTAAAAAATAAAGATCACAATATTAAAAAGGCGCAGATTGATCATAGAAATTTCTTAAATTGTATTTCCGACGGTTTTAATGTTTGTACTATTCTTAATTTACTTCAGGCTGTTAGGCTGCTGGGCTGCAAACCTCAGGCTACTTTGCTCCTAGGCTGTTAGGATGCCAACTTCACGAACATGTTGTTTCGGGGTATTGTGGAGGCTGCTTTTTCTTGTTGATCTTTGTTTTTTATGGTTTATCAAGACATTCTAAACACTTTGGACTTTTCGCTGATGTTTAATACAAATTGGTTTCAACGACTTCAAAGGAACAAGTTTCCTATATGAAGGAATACACTGTAATCTGAGTCGGATATTCCAATATCTTGTTTTGAAAAAAAACATCTTTTGTAATTAGATGTAAAATGTTGTTCTGTACTTTATTTCAGTTATGTATTTCTAAATTCTGATCAATGTTTCCAGTATGAAGCCTTTTTCAAATAAGAATATAACGATTAATTAATAGGAGAAAGCGTTATTCAAGAATGCAGTCAACAATAACGTCACATATGGCCACAATGAAAACACTGATCAGGGCACCGAAAAACAAAACAAAAAACAAAAAAAGGCACAAAAAAGGCACAAAGGCAGCGCAAGGGGAGTAAAGGGAGTAAACAGAGGTGTTCAAAGATTTTTTCCCATGCAGAACTCTGGTCGCCATGAAAACTGACAGAAAAACTTTTTCATGACCCTCAAGATGTTTCTTATTTCAAAATGTTACCATTTTAATGTCTAATGTAGAATTTTGCTTAAGCCGATGCTAGAGTCTTGGACAGTAGCTTGCATTTACCACACACTTTTTAACTTTGCCGATTTGGTTGTTCTTTACATTTTTCATTCTTGACTTTTTTAATGTTTAATATCTTTTGATGATACGCAATAATCTTAGGTAGGTTGTCCTCTGCCACAGCTGCTGAAAATGGTATGGTTTGCTGAACAAGTTGGTCACAAGAGTTAAATTGAAATAACTTTTTTACAACATCCTCTCCTACAGCATTGATTTTCTGACTGTATTCGATAAGAATTATTTTTTTGGCAACCTGCAACATTTTAAAGATCGCCAATTTTAAATTTCTTAATTGTTTCAAGTGTTTTCTATTTTACAAAAATGTGGTATTGTTGCTTGCTGTTGAAAGGCCAAAAATGCATTACCGATATTGATACTGATACTTCAGTACGCACTGTACTTTTTTGAAAGTACATGTACTGGTTCTGAATTACGTAAACAAACTTTTTTTAATACTGGTATTTCATGGATGTCCGAAAAAAAATATATACGAGGCAGTTTCTTGCATAAATATAACTACTTATTCATGATTGATCTCGTAGAGTATGTCCCACAATGTGTGTTGTCGTATTTTTTTCCCTTAATCATCGGAACTTTCTTCCTCGCCCAATAACTCTAATATCTAATTTGGTACATAAAGTACATGGAAAGACTGCTTTTGCATCGTCTGATTCTCATGTTTAGTGCAATTACTGATTTATTTTTCATTTTTTCACCATTTTTGAATTGCGTGACTTTTAAGGACTATTTTTGCATATTCTGACCTATTTTTGGGCATTGTTGTAGACTTTTAGTGCCATTTGCAATGTGTTAAATTACTTTCCTCGTTCACTTGATAAGATTTTACTTTTAATATATTTTCATGAAAATTATAATGAATTAGGAAGTATGCCGCTTTAATAATCCACATACGAGATAGACTATACTAAGCATATACATTTAAGTTAAATGAATGCAATAAGAGCTCAATAATTCGAACAATTTTTACTGCTGTAGGAAAAATAAGTTTACTAGTAATTCGTTTTCAGAGAATTCAAAAGGTTCATATACAAATATGTTTTATTGACATTTTTTGAAAAGATGTACGGTTATAAATACATGTGTGCTACAATAATTGGAAACTACAATAAATGAAAATCATGGAAGTAATTTCTAGAAGCCTTTCTCATATTGAAAATATTACTCAAATGTGTCTGATAAATTAATTCTTCTGATAGATTAATTATTACTGATAAAAGCCAATTATTTAAGAATCCTTAAGGTGACAACGGAGTCAATTATCACTGAAAATACCTAAAATGAGATTTTTTGCTTAGTAGATTTATCAACCTTTTCTGAACACATTCGTGATTTAATTTTGGAAGCAGTTAGTCCAAAAAATGTGTTTTTAAACGTTTAAAAAACGGTACCTGTACCATTTTTATCAGCTATTCGCGTAACCTGTCAATTATCGATAACGCTCCGCCCCCTGTTGAGGCATCAATGAGGGAAATCGGTAGTTCCATATATCCGTGAATTACCGGTCCATACTGGTCCATACTACTCCTAATTCATGTATCGTACAAATACCGTACATCTTTTATGAATATCGTCTACCTTCTATTTGGCATTTTTTATAAAATAAGAAATTGTCGGCCAATGTACGTAACATAATGTATGAAACATAAATAATTAAGCATAGCAGCAAATCGCACGACCACGGGGTTGATTAAAAATATAGTTGCTAAAATATCCATAATGTGTGAAAATAATTTGTCTGTCCCGTTAATCGGATAGATATTACATTGAGTTTATGGACTTTTGTACGGATTCAACGGCTTGCTTTACATTCAACCTCGATTTCTAACAATGTCAAGTAAAACAACAACAAAAACAGACAACATTTTTTATGTGAACGCCTATAATTATATGACTTGTGGTAAGGTGTCCCTGACAAATTTCTAAACCATTTTAGATTGTTTAAGGATGATTATTTCTCTATGAATCAATAAAAAAAGATATTAATATATATTATCAGTGAATGCTTTGAATAAATTGTTCGCCAGTAAATCGAACACAGTACTAATAAACCTGGGACAAAGTATGGAAATTATTGTATATCCCAGTAGTAACTGGATCTCTAAGCCGTGCATAGATGATTTTCATGATAATAGAAGTCAAGAAGGTCAGATCATTATGATCGAGTGATACCTTTTATTTCTATTAAAATATGTGAAGCATTTATATAAATTTGGAGGAAAAAATATATAATAACCCGTTCTTATTTGTACATCTACCATGGCCTTTAAAATACCGTCAGAAGCTCAGTTTTTTTGTTATTTTAATTTATATTTTAACGGAATTTCATACACGAATACACAGACAGAGTGACACTGGTATAATATAATAATAATGCTGATGATAATAATAATAAACTTCAAAAGTGAAACAATTAAATACCCCGCTAGCGGTGCGCAAATACGTTCCATTCCCCCCCCCACCGAGTGCCTCAAATTTTACCGAAAGTCACGTGACATGTGCGACCGATACCAAACGGACAGTAAATCACGTTAAGATTTGAAGAAATTTCTGTTATAAACTGATATTAATCAGCAACGCTTTAGTTGGTCAGATGTCACTGGGTCATAAAATGTTGTTAGAGTATGTTACCGCAACCTGTGACCCTCTCTGGTGCGATATTTGTGTATTATGCAATTATTTAGCGTGAAACGTAGGGGTCCGAGAGAGAAAAGCCGATTTATGACACTTCGTTGATGCGGGTCGGACTAACTTTGAATCGGCATAACTTTTTTAATAATCAAGCAATTAACATGCGATTTAAAGCACATGAAAGGGAATTCATTTACGGAGGGAACCGTGTCAGGGATTTTTGTTTGCTCAATCAGCGACTTAATTATCTTTAATTACGTAATATGTATGGTGAAAAAAGTCGCATAAAATGTTTGACGTTACGTAATATTTTTTTGAGAAAAGATAAAAAAAAATTGAGACAGGGTTCCCCAGATATTCTAAGTATGTTTATTTTCCAAAAGTTTGATAACAAAAAAATAAAAAATGACTTTGGTATGACGATTTAAAATTTTAGGATTTTTATTAAAAATCAATCATTTACAAAGGCATTTTTTTCAAATATGTTATTTATTATGATGATCAGCGACATTTAATGCACAAAGATTAAATAAATAACAATTATTACTTAAGTAAGTTGGTTTAAATGACATTTATGTGAGTACCACGGAAAGTGTCTGTTGTGACCTTAAGAAGGTTTTCGGGAGTTTTTATATAAACATATGACTGAAAACGAGAAAGGTTACCCCAATTTCTTTTCGCTTAAAATGATTCTTATATCATATTCTTAAAACATGTCAAGTTTAAAGAAATTCTATTGAACAGTTTTAATTTTGCCTATATGTCTATAATGAAAACTCCCGAAAACGTCTTCAAATCATTTAAGAGCAGTTGGTGCCGTTGTCTTTGAGAGTTCTGTGGAAACAGCGTGCTTTGTCAAATTCACATCTAAAAATGTATATATATACTTAACTAGATTACAAGGCCAGAAGACAATTGCATTTTGAATTTTACATCACAATCCTACATGTTATATAAAACATTTACTACACTTTGTTATTTGATATTGGCAAACATATGAAGACTTTCAATATTATAAATTAGTATTTATAATCTTTGGCTAAAATTTAAGAAACACTGAACAATGGAAAACGGCAGAACAGTACGGGATGCAGTATTTATCATTCTGACAAAAATGCGTTCCATCATCTAAACTAAAAAAAAGCCTTTTGATAAAATAATCTAAATTTCGATATTTCCGATTAATACAAATTTGTTACAATGACAAGATGTTACTTTAGATCTTTTTAAATGTAAACATAAAAATTTAAATTAAATTAAAATTATAAGGTTGCTCAGTTTGAATATTGCATTTTTTTTTAATTTTATGAAAATTGAAAAAGGCGTACATATTGTCGTAGAATGTTCCATCGCTTCCACAGATCTTACTTCCGCCAGCAGGACATTTAAAGTGAATCAACTCTAAACAGAAAATATCAAGGACAAGCTCACTTCCATGTACCGGTGAGGGTGTGGTTGATGTTGTGCATGCGCCGTCATGTACTTTATGAATTGTATTGTCAGCACAATAAGCCTTGGCCAAGTAACAGCTTTAATAGAAAAAATAATGTTGACGTAATACAATTTTCTTTTTGCGGCAGTAAAATATAAATTTATATGATACGTAGTTCCATGTTTGTGGATATTTTTACAGTATTATAGAATTGAATAATGATTGAATCAAACAAATACATGATGTTTCAGTATTGCAAAAAAACACGAAAAGAATTTATACATGTAAAAGGTATTTTCTGATGTAAATGCATAATTTGAAATCAATTTCGATCTGTTTTTACTCTGAGCTTTTCTTAGATAGTTAGAATATTAGTTTAAAAACCTATATTAAAGTTAATAAGTGTAGGAATATCAATTGCACTGTGACTATAGCCCTTTGACATTTTACAGCTATCATAAATGGTGTTATACTTTATTTCATTCATTCATAAAGTGAACAGAGTGGAACTTTATGCCTTCTTCAAGCACGAACTTTGGTAGTCTTACATTCGGCATTAGTGCGTCATTCAAGTAAATTTAAGGTTTGGAAACGTAATTACATCACCATATCCTATATATGTAGTTGGGAAAGTAAAAGAATGAAAGTTATTGAAGAAAAAAATGTCAAAATTATTCAGAATTCTCGTTTCTTGATGCGCAACTACTATACAAACAAAAGGAAGTTAATAAAAGATATGAGAAGAAACTTGCAATGACAGATTTTATTGTAGTTGAGTATCAAAACGGGGCTATTGTGTTCCTGTATGACTGTCCATTCGTTCCAAAAACATGTACCGTGTCGAACAAGAACGCATAGTCCTTATCAAAGACAAAGTCGCTTAAATCTCCCTGTACGATGCCTAAAAATGATTTTCATGTCGGCAATTAACGGTGTTACCTTTTCTCATTGTTTCCCCCTTGGCTTCGAAACGAAAGCATAGCGGCAGCAAACAGGAAAAAAATGGAAATTAACTTACCTCTTACCTATAGAAAATGAGTTGAAAATGAGTTTGTTAAGTTGAAGGTTACCTAACTTAGTAGTTATGTCATTTATACAAATGAGTTTATTAGGAATCCATATAACACTCGCTGTTAGCAATATTGAATTAGAATATAGCTAAATACTATTCTTTACTTTCGGTATTAATTTCTGTTGCTAGATAGTGAGTTTTGAAAAAAGCCAAAAAGCATTGCAATAATAACCATAAAAACAAAGCTGTCTGTAGGTTACCTTTGTTGGTGTTTTACATATGGCTCAATGCAGAATTCATGAAAGAATGTCCAACTTTTCGTTTTTAGGCTTATCTCAAGCTTTAGTATTTTGACAGATTTTACCTTTAGTAAAAGCCCCTTAGTATTTACTTAAAGTATTTTTCAGAGAATAACAAATAGTTTTCGTTTTACATCCAGTTCAACCAAACACTTCAGTTTAAGAAATACGAGGGCTGTTAGAAAAGTGTCCGGGACTGTTCCATATTTTTTTATTTGTGCACTTATCGTTATGAAATTTTCAAGAGTTATACTTTCGGGAATTATGCATATGGTCCGGCAGAAAAAAGGAAATATTTATACTTATGTGTTACCTACACTCACTATTGCAACGTCGCGTGACGTCGACTTGGGAAACTTCGTTTAATTGGGTAAACGATCACATATTTATCTGTTTCAAAAGAGATTAAACATTGTATTTCCGAGGTCAAAAGTTGACCAAATTGCACGTGAATTTTTTGCGCACTTTTATCTTGACGATCGTAACGTCATTGGCTTCAATATGACTTTATTTATGTAAACAACAGAAGTTGAACACATCGCTGTACTTATTTTGCAAGTATGGCGCTAGAGCAGCGATAATAAGTTTTGCGTGCTAATGATAATGAATACCTACGGCAAAAGATCTATTAAGAAATCAAGCATATATGAGTGGTACAATATATTCAAAAAAGGTTCAACGCGTGTTGTTGCCGACCGCCAAAGATCTGGTAACACGACATCGGTGAAAATAGAAGAAATTAGAGAACTGTTGCAAAGTGATAGAAGGTTAACATTGACATTGCTGCTCAGGTCTGGCTTGACACCTGTTCATTTAATTCAATTGTTAGCAAGAACTCGGCATGTCAATGGTATGTGCTCGCTGAATCCCTCGTATTTTGACACTGGAACAGGAACTGCCAAGAGTTGCAGATGACAAGTAATTTCTGAAACAGTATCTTATCCTTGACAACCGTTTCATCAACTGCACTACCACAGCAGATGAAACATGGATTAATGTTTATGACCCTAAAAATAAGCAAGATTTGTGCATGTAGAAACATTCAACGTCTCAATTACCAGTAAAAGCCTTAGTGAACCGCTCAGCAAAGAGACTTATGTTCACCGTTTGTTTCGATGCCTGAGACGTCATTCTGAACCATGTAGTACTGGCAGGGAGGACGGTCACAGCACTGTATTATTCAAAAGTAAGTATATTTGCTTCGAAATAACATCTAAAATAATCTAGAATGTTTCATTTTATATCTATCTCATTAATAATCATTTGGTATGAGAGATCCTATCTTAATGTCAGGTTATCAAGCGTGATCTGGTGTGTGCTGTGATGAAGAAAAATCCACAACTTAATGGCAATTTCGTATTACATTATGAGAATGCACCTCCCCACTCCTCTGCTGTCACCAAGACATCACTGAGAGAGTAAGAAATAGACACCGTAAAACATCCTGAATATCCCTCAGATCTAGCACCATGCGATTTCTGGCTATTTCCGACGTTGAAATCAGAGCTGTACGGCAAGAGGTTTGATGACGGTCATGATTTGCTAATTGTTGATCGAGAAACGATTCGTAAAAGTTCCCAAGATCAGTTCAAGTCCTATTTTTAAAATAGGATTCATAGATGAGAAAAATGTGTAACGTGTATTGGAGACTATTTCGAAAAGGTCTGATTTTTTATGCGTGTGACCGATTTTCCTGACCCTGTATCTCATCGAAAAGTCCGTTGCCCTGCTCAACGTAACCCTACGTTACCATAGATACTGTTGAATGTGCATTAATGCAAATGGTGATTTTTTTTCAACCGGGTCATAAGCATAATTAATACACTTGTTACTATATATAGTAACAAAATTGCCTATGATTTCAACTGATTATGAGTGTCACGTGACCTATGATGAGTTTGCGGCCCGGGGCCGAGAACTAGTTATCAAGCCCGCAGACATGTGCACGTGCACCAAACTGAAACAATTGACGTCATATTTTTACGTCATCAAACAGTTAACTGTAAAAGTGAAAGTAGGTTGTCAGCACGAATCGCTTAGCTTAAAGCGAATTTAGTACAAACACATTTTTGTTACTTAATTGAAATTTGAAGAAATTTAATACGACAAATTCATTCCGAAAAAAATAAAAAATAAAACTTGCTTCTTTGAACACACAAACAGTAAACATCTCTGTACAGAGCAGTTGACAAGAATTTCAACGAAAAGAACTTCAAAGTATTTGTTGTTGTTTTTTGTTTTTTTTTTAAAAAAAATGCTACTAATTAGATTCTACCAAGTGTATTAAAGACATTAATACACGTCAGAGTAGGGCCGGAAGGTGATAATCGGCCCTGAATGAATAATGGCCCTCGGGCTAAAGCCCTCGGGTCCATTATTCATTTTGCGGGCCGATTATCACCTTCCGGCCCTCTCCTGCCGTGTATTAACCTCTTATTCTCCAAATAAACCGTGATGTTTACTTTACCTAGATATGTTTGTAAATGACAAAAGTTATGAAACATTTCTGGAACTTTTTTAATAGACCTTCTAAAAGACCTCGTAGTCCAACTCCAGTCATGAGGCCTGTCACAAGGACCGATTATCTTTTCGTAATAGAGTCTTACCTTTACGGATGAAAACAACAGATTTGGTAAGGTTTCATCAGAGAATTGTAATTAACTTTATAAATATCAGAGAGCAAGTCTCCATTAAAGTAAAGGTATTTTCAATCGTTGAATATTTAATGAACATTGTAATAGGTCAACTTTTGACGTATCATATTTTATTTTTCCTTGAACGAATGAATCATTTTTATACATGGTACTATTAAATAGCGATATAGTAACAGCATTGGTAGTCGATGTATAAAAAAGAAGAATATCATTATGTCATAAAAATTTATGACAAAGGTCAACGGAATGACAGTATTTAAAAACGTTACAGAAGCTTTGACTAAAATCAGGTAAATATTTACTTTGCACCGTTACCTTGTTGTAAAAAATCATGGCTTGCTTAAAACATTGTTGAAGTTTAAAAGATTTAACTTTAAATCTAAATCGTGCTAAATAAACTTGTCTTGTTCTGAATTTCATTCGGGGAAAGAACGGATTTTTAAAATTGGAAATATGGAGTGATGGACAAGCATAATTACATTGCTCAGTACTGTAGCTATTACCGCCTTCACGACGTTACAACCATTATATTGAAAGAGATGTATGATAAAACATTTCTATATAGTGCTGCAAATTCACAGGGTAAAATGACAACGAAGTGGTCAATGTCAGCCAACAGCAAGTTTTATATACCAAATTGTTCGTCTGGATCCGTAGTTTCCGGAATGGATATCCATTTGGCTAAAGTCCGATGCGAAGCTTAGAAATCCAAGATGGCGTCAAAGATGGCCGCCAAGTCCCTAAATATTCTAGAATATTAATGTTGGCTCATTTTTATTTCCATTTTTGTATTTCAAATAAAATTTTGCACCGAAGATGTCATTTAAAGCGTTTATATAACTAGGCTTAATATTTCTGGAGAAAGCAGAAAGTGTTTTGCTTTTCTTTTATTCATAAATAAGCCAAAAAAATGTGTAACTTATGTGTTCTTGCTATGATACTCTTGTTTATGCTTAAACAGAGAAATATCTATTACTTATTTAATTATTCTACTATTGTAATGTACTCATGAGAGTAATATTTTAATGTATTTATATCATATATTATTGTTTGTAATTAAGCAGTAAGACATGTAAAATGGGAGGCGCTACATTTAAATAGTTTTAAAATGTTACGAATGTTGTAACACATACTTATTTGTTCTATCAACTATTTACCTTATAGCTCTTTGGTGGGCAGTCATGAACATATTTAAAATAAAATTAAAAAAGGAAATGATTATTTGCTTCTAGTTTATTTAATGAAATTTCTGGTTCCCAAAACGTAAACCCCCCCCAATTTTAGTGGTGTGAATAAGATGCTCCCTCGATTAACTGATTATATTTGGGAAGAAAAATATTTTAAATAAAATAAAAAAAAAAAGTTGATTTCCCTTAAAGGTATTTTTCAGATCAATAAACTTTTAAAAAAAGTGTTACCAAAATTTAATATCCCATTTAAAATCTTTTTGTGTTGTAAATTCCCCCATAAATTTTAAAAATATCCCAAAAAAAACATGTTTTTTTATTTATATGTAAAACCCCATTTTCTAGTAAATGGAAATTTAAATTTTTTTAATTTGGGCCCCTATAATTTGATAAAAGTCATTTAAATGTCTGATATTTTTTTTACTGTTTTCCCATACTCTGAAACCCTGCAAAAAAAGTCGGGTAAAACATAAAGTTTCTATAAAGCCCTTCACCCCCATTTTTATTGTGTTTGTGGTATTTTTATATTTTTCCAGTTTGTGTGGGTTTTTAGTATTCTATTTGAAAACTGTATAATGCCCGTGTTTTAAAAAAATTTCCTTTTGAAAATTTAATTTTGTTTTTTATAAATCCTTTTATTTAGTTTCCCCCCAATGTTTTTTTCCCTTTTTTTAACCTTCCCGTTACTTAGGGGAAAAAAAACCCCCCAAAGTCGTGAAAATTTCCGAACTTTTTACTTTAAAATTCCCCCCCCAATCCCCTGTCGTATGAATACCCTGTTTTTGCTATTTCTTTTACTTGGGGACCAATTTATGTAAATTGAGAATTCTGCCTCAGCCGGTGCTCGAGGGGTGGAAATAGTTGCGTTAACCCCTATGGTATTTCCCCAATGTGAGGGGACAGGTATTAATGAACCCCCACCCAAGGGAAAACTCTTAAAAATTGTCATGGAACTGAGTCCCAAAAAAATAAAACCCATATATGATCCTGTTTAATAATTACTGTAAAAAAGGGAAGCCCCAAAAGGAAGTGATGCTTTAAAAAGGAAAACAAAGAAAAAAATCACCCTTTCAAGGGCCCCCCCGCCTACGAACAAAACAGAAGACGAAAATCAAAAAATTCAGTTCCCAAATATTTTTAGAAATTGCCCCCCACTTCCCGGTCAAAAAGCCCCTTAAACCCAAAACCCCCTTGCGGTAAGCCCTTTAAAAAAACTGGTCCCTAGCCTTTTAAAAGCCAATAAAAAATTAATATGAGTCACGGCCCCTAGGAGTTTATAAACCCCCATCTACAATAGAAAATCGATTTTCTAATAATTAGTCCCTAAAAAAACTTTTTTAAATACATATTATAAGCTTTTTCACTCCCCTCGGGCTAAGAAAAAACATAAAAAATACGACTTTTCCAAAAATTTTTATTTCCCAAAGGGATAAATTTTTTAAATAAATTTTTAAAGAGCTCGGGGGACCTTTGGAAAATTTTTCCCCCCAATCTTTGAATAGTTTAGCCCAAAAACGAATTTGCCTAAAAATTAAAAATTTTTTTTTTGATTTTTTCCCCTAAAGGGACTATTTTTTTATAATTCAGTCCGTCTAGAAACGGGAAAAATCTTCTGTAAAAAGAAATTTGGGGTACCATTTCAATTTTTCCCCCTTGGAAATTCCCTTTTACATTTTAATGTAAAATTTTTAAAAATCCGTTTAAACCCAAAAGCCCCAAAAATCCAAATATTATTCAATTGTAAGTTAATCCCTATGTTTGCCCTTTTAAAAAAAGAGCTGAAAATTTGGACGCACCCCTCGAATATTCAAAACCAAACCCGAAATTTTATAATAAAAGGGGGTTTTACGTTTTTTCACCAAAAATGTCTAAAATTTTTGGAAAAAAAAATGTTAGAGGGGAAAAACTACTTATGTCCCCCAAAAAGATGTGGTTAAATTTCAAGTCATTTCCTTTAATGGGTTTTGGAGATAAATTTTGTCCCCCCGGAAATTTTTTTAAGTTTATAAAGTGGGTATCATGCCCCAGTTATTGGGGGGTTTTTATCAGTGACCCACATGTACACCCCCAAAATCCTTTTTTAAAGTTAAAAAATGATGCCTTTTTTTGGGTTAGTAGAACAAAATTGCAAACCAATCCTTAACCTGAGCTCCCCCCATAAGGTAATTTGCAAAAACCCCGGGTTACAGGTCCCCGTAAATTTTGTTCCCTTTTTTTTGGCCCTAAAAAGTAAAAAAGGTTTTCTACATTTAGACCAAATTTTTCCCCAAATTTTCAAAAGAAAAGCAAAATGTTAATTTAAAATTTTTTTAATCTTTTTTTCATTTTCCCTTTTTTAAAACCGAGAAATATTTTTAAATTTTCGCTGAAACCCTTTGTAATAACCCCCCCCATTTTGAATATTTGGGTTAAGATCAATTAAAACATTTTATGGCAAAAGTTCACCCTTTTTTCTTCAAATGTGAAATCCCCCATTTTTGAGGCTGTATTAACCCAAAACCCTAAATTTTTAAAATAAATATTTATGTAAATTTTTTTATTTATTTAAAAACTTTAAAAAAATACCCAATGTCCCTTTAAAATGAATATTTAGGGGGTTTGGGGGCCATCCCTTTTTACGAAAAATTTGGAATCTCCCCTACCGCATGGGGGTTGGGACCAAAATTATAAACTTTCCCCCGAATTTCAAATATCCAAAACCCAAACATTTTGGTATATGAAACTTGCTGTTGGCCCCCGACATAGCCCCTTTTTCCCTTCTAAAAAATTTGGGTAGTAAATAGGGTGATTTGCAGGGCCCAAAAAAACCTTTTGATACTTAAAATGGCCCTTGGTGAATAGCAAAATGCCCCCAAGTCAAAAATCCTTTTCCCCGGGTTCCCCCATAAATTTCAAAGAACTTTAAACCCCCATAAAGAAATTTAAAAGAAATTAAAAAACATTTTTTTGTTTAAAACAAATTTTTGATATTGAAAAAATTAAAAAGAAAAAAAATGGCAAAAAAAGTTTATGATGAAACAAAAATGTGTTAATGTGATATAAAAACAATTTTTTATGAACATATGAAAAAAATCCCCATTCTTAAATTTTTTTTTTGAAATTTTCGTTAAAAGCAAAATAAAGTCTAATGGGAATAAAAAAATTACGTATTACCCAAAATTTTTTTGGGCTCTTTTTATAAAGATTAAAATCTTTCTATAGAAATCATTAGCAAAACTGCATCGGAACCATATGAATGCTTTGAGAAAACTGTTGTATTTTTCTTTGTTATGCAAGCAAAATAATTCTAAAAAATCTTGAATGATATTTTGAAAGCTTGATATTCCAATATAGACAAATTTGAGACAGGAACATGGAAAAGAACAAAAATATATAAATTAATTTAATACAAACTTGTTGCGATATGATACTCCATTAGTGCCGCATACAACCTCTGCTGGTTTTGTCTTACAGTCTCGTGTGATGACGTACGAACAAACATCGCCATGAACGAGACCTGGAAGTAATAATAAGAGCTTTCGGAAAAGAATTTCAAACCACTTGTTACACCGGAGCCGCACATTTAAAACTGTCAAGTAAGATATGACAAGAGTGGGAAGTTCTATCGCTAAAATAAATATTTTACAAAAATTTCCTTTTACATATTTATACAAAAATAATTTATACAATTAAATTCAATACATTAACAGTGACTTTAGTTCTGTAATTTTATCAAATAGAGTATTACTTATTTAATAGTTATGAAATTTAAGTTCAATAAAATAGTTTAGAAATTTTAGATATTGTCACGGGAGACATTCTTAGAAAAAATTTATATAAAACACAGAAATGTTCTGTCCTTCTTCCACTTAACAGTATATTTTGCTGTCTAAAACCATTGTATAATGCCGTCGAAGATATATCCTGCGCCGACCTTGGAAAAGGGTCAATATTCAACCTAACTTTGAAAGTCCTTCACCCCAAAACGTAAGGTCATAATAATAAACGTCACCTCCGACCTATAAAGGTCAATATATAACTAAGAAATGTTACCTCCTACCTATAAAAGGTTCAAATATAACTAGAAATGTTACCTCCCTACCTATTAAAGGTCAATATTTTAACAAAAGAAAATTGTCAGGAGAAATGTCTGCCTTGATGTTATTTAATCTTAGGAAAGATTTAGCAATAAATACTAGAACCAATTTCGGCAAGATATGGGGGCTGGGCAGCACGGCCTGACATAAAATTGAAATTTCTCAGTTGGAAAACTAGCATGTAATTGTTTAGTTAACACTATTTTTTTTTAGGTATTTTTATCTTTTTATATCTCAAATCAATATATACATTTAAACAACAAAAACTCCCACCGACTATTATTTACACACAAAAACAAAGAACTATGATCATTATTTACACCCCAAAACAAACACACAATCATTTATCAGCCACTTATACGAAATATCTTTTCACGTATACGTCTTTTATACGAAACAATACTAGACACCTGGCGAGCCCAAGCTCTAAACCACTTATGATCAAACAAAACAATAAAATCGCCACAAAATGAAAGAACACAAAAATGAATTTTTTACAACTGTAAAGATACAGTATAAACCACAAACATTCATCCAACAATATTAAACTTTTTCACACAATCTTAATCAGCATTAGAAAAACAAACTTAAACTAAAGCACCCAATATTTACATATATCCTCAAAACAAAGCAGCAACTAATATAATCTTGACCAGACAAACATTCAACCAATATCAACCAAATATATCTTCAACAAACAGATATAACTCAACAACCAAACAACTAATTACAACCAATAAACCCTGATCAATTAAGATCAACCACAATTATATTCAACCAACTTCAATAAACCAACAAACTCCAACAAACAACAAATTATCTTCTTTACAAAAAAAATAACCCGCTACACACTATCAGCGTGTCTCTCCTAACTGATGTAAAATCTCTCTCAAAACGCGCATATTTGCTAGCTGAAACGATTTGACCTTTAAACATGTATACATATTTTATACTCCCAGCAACAGGTTTATAAATGAAACTGTACATTGAAATCTGATACACTTCAGTGTATCGCTGACTCGTTGTAAAAAAAACTATCTACAGTGAAACTGTATGATTATTCTGACAGCCCCCTTCTCTATCTAGTCTACTTAGGTAATCTGCACACACGTTGTCCTTTCCTTTCACAGCTACTATTCTAAACTTATAGTTCTATAGTTCTGTAGAAATAATGCCCATCTCATTATGCGGCCACTTTCTACTTTACATTTCTGAATATACGTTAAAGGAGCATGGTCTGTATGCAGCTCAAATTCTTTCCCGTACAAATATTTGTTGAATTTCTTTATTCCGAATACCATTGCAAGACATTCCCTTTCGATAACCGAGTAGTTTCTTTCTCTGATCAGCAATTTCTTACTCGCGTAAGCTATTGGAAGCAGACCATCATCAAACTGTTGAAGAAGTGCAGCCGCAACTCCGGTATCTGAGGCATCACATTGCAAAACAAATGACTTTGAAAAGTCTGGATGTCGTAGTATTGGTGATCGTGTCAGTACTTGCTTCAATGTCGTAAAGGCTTTTTCATGTTCTGGTTTCCATATGATTTTATTTGGCTGTCCTTTCTTCGTAAGATCTGTCAATGGTGAAGCAATTTCTGCAAATGAAGCAATGAATTTTCTGTAGTATCCAGCTAGACCAAGAAATGATCTCAGTTGCTTCTTTGACTCTGGTCGCATAGCGTCTCTAATTTTGATCAATTTGTCATCTTCCTTTTTCATTTGACCTTTGCCAACAACATGACCGGTAAATGGTGTACTTTCAAATCCAATCATACATTTAAAAGGATTAACTGTGATCTTTGCGTTTCGTATTCTTTCGAACAATTGACTCAACATCTTCATGTGTCTCTCTCATGTAACCGTATGTCCAAGCACAATCGTCAACATAGTTATCAGTATCATTCACTCCAGAAAGCAACTTCCGCATCATTCTATTAAATGTTGCACCAGAATTGACCATTCCAAATGGCATCTTTCTGAATTGTTAACTACCTTCTGTTGTAGAAAATGCTGTTAGATGTCTTGATTTTGCTTCAATTGGTATTTGCCAAAAACCTTTGGTCAAATCAATTTTTGTGAAGAACTTATCTTCTTTTAGCTTTTGCCATCACATCCTCAACATTACCCATTGGTTCTGTATCAAACTTTGTTACAGAGTTGAGTCGTCTGAAGTCAATACAAAAGCGGTTTGTATTATCCTTTTTCTACACCAAAACAATTGGTGAATTATAATCAGAATTTGCTGGTTCAATGATACCACATTCAAGCATTTTCTTAATTTCATCCTCTACCGCTGTCCTTTTTGCATATGGTATCGTATATTGTCTAACACGAATTGGTGTTTTGTCAGTCAACTCAATCTTGTGAGATTCAAGATCTGTAGTTCCAGGAATATCAGTAAAAATATCCTCAAATTCTTGAAGCAACGCATTTACTTCTGATTTTTGTTCAAGTGTTAATTGATCATTAACATTAACATCTCTGTACGTCTCTTCACTCTGTGTGTCTACTAGTTCTAAAAGATTTTCATCATCAACAACCCCAGTATCATCATTATTTTCGGCCTCTATTACAGCTACACTCGCACAAATTCTATCTTCTCTTTCTTCATATTTCTTCAGAAGATTTATGTGGTACATTCCAATTCTATCACCTACCAAGACCATTACATTTTGGATTGTAAGGGGTAGTAAACAACTGTTTCAGTGATACAAGTCTACAAACTTCTTCCATAAGTTGTGACGTGAACTGACTACCTCTATCACTAAGTATTTCCGATGGGAAACCTACTCTTGCAAAAATATCTAACAATGCTTCAGCTATATTTTCAGTCTCAATTCTTGGTAAAGCAACAGCTTCTGGGTAACGTGTAGCATAATCAACTACAGTTAAGATGTATCTATTTCCCTTTTCCGATACAGGCGTTATTGGCCCTATCAAATCCACCGCAATTCTCTGGAACGGAGTGTCAATAATAGGCATTTCACCTAAAGGAGCTTTCTGAAGTCTACCCTGGGCACCGTCTTCTGACAAATGTCACAGGAACGACAAAATCTAGTTACATCACTAGAAATACGCTGGCCAGTGAAAACTAGATTGTATCCTGTCTAAAGTCTTGCGTACAGATAAATGACCACCCACTATAGATTCATGAGCTAATGACATAACTCTTTTGTGATATTTACTAGGAACAACTATTTGTCTTGTTTCAGACTTCAAATCACCTTTCACCGTCTCAAATATTCTATACAACACATCTTTTTCTACTTCATATCTAAATTTATTAACCACTTTTTGTTTTCATGATCTTATTTTCCTTAGCATACTGCCATAAACGCTGTAACGTATTGTCATTTGATTGTTCTTTCTTAAGAACAATCTACCGTAATTTCGTTATCTTCGACCTTCGGAACTTTAAGAGGTTTCATTGCTTTCTTCTCTTTTTCTGCCTGTGCTCTAGTAACAACAGCAGCTATGTTTGTTACTTCTGGGCTAACCCAATTCTCATTTTGCTTATCAAGTACACCCTGGATATTGCCCAAGACTAAGTCACAAATTGCTGACTCTAAAACCATAGCTTGTATTTTACCCTTATAATAAGGTGTATCAATGTCTATTTTTGCCATGGGTACCAACCTGGCCCGACCATCTATTGCTATCATGACACAATTTTTATTCAGCATTTGATCTTCTTCCACTAACTTCTTTCTAACTACTGCTAACTCGCAACCAGTGTCTCTCAGAACTTTCACCTCTTGATTCCCAACATATCCTAATTTCAGATCCAATTGACGTTCACCTTCTAATGATTCAATTGTACAGCTACTTGTAATGACAGGCACAGAATTGCCATTGGCTAATTTAAGTTTCCCCTCTTCAATACAACCATCATAAGAAACTTGTTGGAGAAATTGACATACATACCCCGATACTTTCTTATCATCTGATCTCCCATCACGTCTATTTTCTCCAGGCCTACTACGCCAGCTCCTTGGTGAAGAATCCCGATTTGTTTTTAAAGTAGTTTTCTATTTTGCTCTCCATATGACATTGCAGCAGCCCCATAATCTTTTCTTAGTCTGATCTTGACAATCTCTGGCCACATGACCCTCTCTATTACATATGAAGCATGTTACTTTTCTGTTTCCCTATGATAGTGCTGTATTGGTTTCGATAGATTACCTTGATTAAGGCGTATTGGTGATTTATTTGAAAAAAGCTGGCAACTTTTGAGCTTTTACTATTTGTAAATTGTACCGCCATGAGCTTCTAAGTATTTGTTCAGCCAAAGAGATGACATCTCTACGATCCTTTGGCTTTTCGTTCCTTAAGAAAAAGAGCTAGCTCTGTTGAACAAACTTTGACAAATTGCTCTCCAATAATAAGATCTTTCAATTTATCTACTGTATCCGCAGCGT